GGCCACGAGTTCTAGTATTTAGACTAATATTGAAATAGTCATTTGGCTGAATTCATTTCTGGATGTTCATAATCATTCATGTTAGTCCTGGCTTAAGTCAACCATTCAAAAGAGCTTTTGTGTGATTTAGTGACTGACAGCAAAATAATAAAAAAAAAAAAAAATACACTAACCTGGTACATTTAAAAACAGGCCTAAAATGGAATAAATGGTGACAAAAATTAAACCCGCTTAAAAATACAAACATGTTTTGTATGGGCTTTAGAAATCTTGACATCACCTGAGGATGGATTTCCTACATGATGAATCTAGATCCTACATGGATTTCCAATGCAGGGATTTTTTTTATTTTGATCCAGATGCCTGAGCCAACGTTAGTACCACTTAACATTTGCCAGAGCAAACAACAGAAATTTGCCAAGTAAAATAAAACACAGGATGTTCATTAGCTCATAAATCGTTAGTCAATGGAAATTTTGAGTCCAGTGGAGCAATCACGTTGGACATTTAAACAGATTGATATGATAAAGCTGATTATCTCTGCTCTATGGAATATTGCTAAAAATTGATAATCATTAATAACTAAGTTTGGGGTAAAAACTAACCATCCACTATAAATATCTAACATTAACATTATGAAAAGAATTTGAGCTAAATATTGCTGGAGGAATGTGAATTCTCAAGATTAGTAGGTAGAATTAGTTTGCATGTATTCATTCAGGCAACATATAATTCTATTATATGTTACTGTTGCTGTCTTCTGCTTATGAAAGCCAATCTCAAGTAGTCCACTGCTGAAAAATAAGTTCACTCCAAGCTGAAGCCCCTGTAATAGTGCTGACAATGCAATCAGTCCAGCATGCAACAACAATGCAAAGGAATAGCTGGAGCAAAATGCCGACTTTTACTATGTCCGGGAGTCATTAAATCGATGGTATCCTTCAGCAAGGTGAAATTGTATAAGACACTTGAACCACACAGATAGTACAGTTCCATTCTCAAGCCGATGTCATGCTCCTGTCAAAGTGTGTAATGTTCAGATCAGCCATTCACACAAAAATCAGCTTAGTATATTGCATTTGTGCAAGATTTGTTTCCACAAATCCCTTTGATTTACAGTGATCTGTTTAATAGGAAGCCACTAGTTCTTGTGCCAAGCCAAAGGCACCTCAAGGTCTCTTTTTCGGTCATTTTAATACCTGAGGCAATACCTACAGAAAGTAATTTTATGGCAGTATATCTATATCTCAGTAATCAGCATTGTATCAACTTGCTTTCTTATGAAGAGATATTTACCTCCGACAGAGAGTCTCCTCTGCATGTAAACATACAGCCGTGTGCTGCATTCGGAGTTGGGGGATGGAAAACAAGTTGTGTATTGAACGCTTCAACTATTATTAAATGTTTGCTATTTGAATGTTTATATACAGTTGTAATATTATTGGCTATTTATAGTAGAAATACCAGTGAATGTTTCTTCTACGTCTTTCTTTGTGGAGAGAAGTTTGGAGCAGACAGAAGTGCCTGACATTTGAGATTAGTCATGGTTACAGGGACAGAGCTTGTTGTTGCTGCTTCTTACCCCACAAGCTGTGTCCCAATTCAGGAGCTGCGTCCTTCTAAGGCTGAAGTCAAAAACCAGATGCGTCACAGTGGCGCAACAGGGCTGTTCCATTTCAAAGGTTCCTTCAAATATGTCTTAGAAATGCCTCCTTCTTTTCCCAGGCTGAGAATGAACCACCTTCTTCAAAGCCCAGTCTATCACAAGACACATCGCATGGATTTTTAGAAGGACACAGCCTACAAAGACTATGTAGACCACATCCTACAAAGGATGCAGCGCCTGAATTGGGACAAGGCTACAGCCATTTAAAATATATATGACTGACACCAAACTTCACCCCCACCTGCATGTGAGTGTATGTCTCGAAGGAGAGCAAGATGGGATATCCAAAGAGAAACATGGTAAATAAAGCATCATTTACATTTTGTTTCTGCTTTTTGACAGGACCATCCTGCAATTTTATTAGATTTCTATGTCTAAGCCCTCAACTTTTTTTTGACTAGGTAAAATCAACAATTATATTGTGCTTGTATAAGTTAAGTATAATGTGCAGGGTTGAATAGTGTGGTGGCACAGAAGCCTTGCGCATCCTTGGCTGGTTTTGATTCCCAGTCCGGGGTCTGTGTGTGTGGAGTTTGCAGGTTCTCTCTGTGTTTGCCAAGATTTATCCAGCAACTGAAGTTTAGTTCTACCATCGGAAACTATGTGGTTAGGTGAATTGCCATTACGGAAATGCCCATAGAGAGTGATTATGTGCCTGAGTGTGTGCACTGTAATGGACTGGCATCCCATCAAGGGGGCTCCCCTGGCTAGTGCTATCCTGGGATAGGATCCAGGCTCACTGCAGCCCTGTGTGGTATGCAGTGTCAAAATGCATGCCCTGAAGGTGTTAGGCCAGTGGTTCCCAACCCAGTCCTCAGGGACCCCAGACAGTCCACATTTTTGCTCCCTCCCAGCTCCCAACACCTGAACCAGCTGTACCAGCCCCTTGTTCTTGATTGGCTGGGAGCTAGAAGGGAGCGAAAATGTGGACTATCTGGGGTCCCTGAGGACTGGGTTGGGAACCACTGTGTGCTATAATGCTGACCATTAAGCTTTTATGTTGCTCAGTTTTTTTTATTGTAAAACTTAATTCATACATACAATGTAATCATTAAAAGATTGTCATAATTCATATTGACATGAGGTGGACCTGAATGTGCCAGTCATTCTTGACAGACTGCAGCAGCAACTGAATATTTTTACATAAAAGAGCCACAGAAGTCATTTTGTTTTCTTCATAACAATCCAGGCTTTTCACAAGTATTGATCTCGATGTCTTCTACAGTCACACTCCCCTGTTTAACATACTCTAAAGCTTTCCAGCTTATAACATTACCTGGTGAGAAGCTTGCGTGAGTGATGTAATTCTGGATCTGGCAGGGAGAGAGGGCGTGGTCCCACATGTGGACGTCGGTGATGTCACCCACGAAAGATTGGTGTGCATTAAAGCCCCCTCCATAACTGTCCTGCTCCTGACCTAAAGTGATAATGGCGGGTACATGGATGGCGGCGTTATTCCCCACAGGCTTCTTGACACTGTGCTTTCCATTTACCCACAGCTGAATCAGGCGGTTTTTGGAATTCCAGGTCATACAGGTCGAGATCCACTCGTTCACCTCGACTGGAAGACCAAAGAACTTAGCAGAGAGATTATTGATATGCCCTCCATACACACCGGACGGTTCCTTGTACAGCAGAAACGCATTATGGTGTGTAAGTGTAGCCATGGAGAAAATCGAGAATTCCTGACTTAAGTCAGTGAAGAATCTCAGGCAGACAGTCAGGGCCGTTAGGGACGTCTTGTCATCAAGCGTGATCTTCACATAGTCCGTGGCTGTCTGTTTTGGGAAGGTGAAGGCTTTCCCAGAGAGATCTGAGTCCAAAAGGCACCAAATACGAAAATCAGCAGTTCATCTTTTTCCTGCCAATACTTTTTCCACTATTAATTATCAAATTGCATTTGGGAGCTTTCACTGACAAGGAGAATATACAGTATTAATGACAATGTTACATGAAATATTAAGATAATGGCAATTATACACAAATAGTTACAAATGTACTTGTATGCATTTATCAACAGAAATGCAATTTCAGTCATTCTGTAAACTTCCTACCTTCTCTTTCAGCATAACTTCCAATGATCAGATAGAGCACATAGAACAAAAGCCCCTTCATTGTAGTAGCTGCCCAAACATGAATGTGAAGAGATACCTATAAAGGGTATAAATCCATGAGTAACACGGCCCCCTGCTGCGCATTCATTAATATTCACATTGCTAACAAAACACCTGGATCCTACACAGGCTCTGATGTCTTTAGCTCACGAGTATGAAGTTGACATGTAAAATAGCATATAGAATTTGACATATCACATTATTATATCAAGATACATACCACAAATTATTTATTATCCATCAGTGTAAAGCTGAAATATGAAATTACCTTAAATGTTGTTGATGACAACCTTCAGTCTCAACAGATCAGACAAAAGCTTTTTTCTGCCTGCAGTACACTAAGAAAAACAAGAGAAATCCAAGGAGGCGGGGCAGGGTTTGAGGACACGCCCCTAACATCCACCAATTCTCCCCGATTTTCCAAAGCAGAATAGGGGCTAGGATATTTTTTGATAATGAACTATAATACATTATAATGATTATAGTGTATATATATGTGCGATGCACACAACTTGTGTAATGCAAACATTTTGATAAATGACATTGTAGCCATTAATAACAGAACCAAAATATACAATGTGAGGCCCATTCTAATGCTACACAATAAAAATGCATCCCTTAGCATTTCATTTTTCTTCTCAATGAAAATGTTTTTGTTAATTATTGCATTTTCTAAAATTATAGCCTGTGATCAGAAGGTACTGTAACTGGTTTGAGTCCCATATGGATGTCAAGCCCTTAAGTCCTTAAAAAATGCTCCATGGGAAGCTATAAACATAGCTGACCCTGTGCTGGAACCCTAAGCTTTGTTCTCAACAATATGTCTATATGCCCAAAAGGAGAGCAAGAGGGGATATGTGAATAGAAATATTACAATGTACACGTAACTGTATGGTGTCATTGCGTGAATGCAATTTGATGCTTTGCTTGTCAGTGGTACAGCTCTAATGTTGGTGGCTTCTGCCCCCTAGTGGATCTTGGAAACTAAAGAAACGTACACATTAGAACATCATTTTTAGCAGTGAGAATGACAACAGTGTTTAAACAAAAGAAGTGGTGTGGAGCATTGCAGGGTTGGGCTTGGTCTGTGAGTCAGCAAGGTTGCGTGTTTGAATTCCTTAGCTGGCAGAGTCATCGCTGAGCAAGGCCCTCAAGCCCCAGGGGTACAGGCTACCCACTACACCCAAGCCCTGCTCTTACCTGCATATATATATGCATGAGTGTTTGAGCGGCTCATAGGCAGCAAGATGGAGCACACAAATACTTCCCAGTTTCCCCATTGGGATGAGGAAAGTCCAGCTTTTCAATTAAGAGAGGGAGTGCCTATATTTTGATAGAATTTCAATTTGATGTGAATTTCCCATGAATTTTAGACATGGTTTTTGTCTTATTTTCATTTAGCCAATGAGCATAACTATGGTGAATCAAACATTAATTGGCTCAAACATATTACTAACATATTAACATATCTGAGGCTGCTTGTCTTACTATTTACAGGAGAAACATCCATTGAGGAAACTCACGGACCTCAGAATTCTTGGAGGAGTTCCTGTTGGTTCCTGGGAAAGGGGGTTCCCTGAGTCCAGTGAGAATACAGTGATCTGGACTCAGTGGGTGACTCTGGGCTGTCATCATGTCCTGTGCTGTAGTTCCTTTCTTCTGCAGCAGCATTCCAGCAGGGCACTCACTGGATGCGGGGTGGCGGGGGTGGGTTTCCAAGCTTGCTTTCTTCTCTGCTTTTTTGAAGGAAACCTGCCAGGGCCCCAAGGTCTCTGCAGCTCCACTGGGAGGGAAATGGAGCCCCCAGGGAGGCAGAGGAAGTGCGCGGTTTAAGGGGCGGCCTGTTCTCGGCCCATTGTTCTGACAGAGCTGCGTGCCTTTCTGATGGGACACGGAGCCAGGAATCCCGAGTCATCAGGAAGACGGAAACTCACGGCGTGCAGCTGCGTCCAGATTACGCACTGGTGGGCTTTAATGGTTAACGCAGCCCAAGTTTTGGGATCGCCTATTGTGAAGGACTGTATTGTCCTTACAGCTTATTTTCCAGAATCTCTAGGGGCCGGATGTGTGGCTGACATTACATGAGCAGCTTGGGCTTGGGTTGCAGTGTGTGTTTTACACTCAGATCCCTTAATCCCACAGTGGGATGATCCTCAGATTGTGTTTAAACTGCTGATTCCAAATTACCAAGTGTGCATCAAACATACAAGACCATCTCCTTAGTATAAAATACCTTCCTGTCTTATACACAAAGGATGTTAGGCTGTGAGAATGACTATTGTAACATGTGGACTGAGTAATCATCAGTATCTAGGCACATGTGGGAAAAAAACAGAACTGAAACATATATGTCAATTGGTAATAAGGCACAGGTGATGTGAATGGATGTGTGAGTCACATGACTGTGCTGCTCCCTGCGATGTTCACCCCCCACTGACCAATATTGCATTTCAAATGATAACATAACTGAAGGACATCATCAGCATGACAGAAGTACAATAACAGAACAGCAAGTAGCTTAGTGTTCGAAAAACTGGGCCTGAATCATAATGTTGCTGATCTGGCAGGGATTCTGTATCGAACGACACCAAAGCTTTTTCAAGAAATACTCAAGGCGACGTGAACGCTAAGCTACAAGGACTCAAACTGCCAAACAATTATACTACAAGATAACATTAAGTACATAAGTCACTGAATACCCAGCCTTCAGGATGACCATGGGAGATTTATGTCCGGAAAAAGTTTGGCAGCCTGGCCAAGCAAAGCCAAAGAATTCGGGGACGGAGTTTGACCAGATTAATTTAGCAAAAACAGATAGAAACAGGGAGGAATGGTACAAGGAGAACTAACCACCCTGGGCAACCTGACAGAGGGAGACAGCAAAGACAGGTACTGCACACATAAACGTGTTTGAAAATTCCTCAGGTGTGAGAAAATAGGGCAGGGTTCTTTAAATCTGGACCTCGATTCCAAAGCCGATTCCAGGCCTTGTTTTCAGTTCTCCCAGGTAGTTACTTTAATAGTTACTGATTCTGATTGGCCAGAGGCTTCACACCTGGCTCACAGGTAAAGGAAGGCTGGAAAACCAGCAGTGCTCGGACCTCGAGGACGTGATTTGAATTAAGGGACAGATATGGGTAACTAAATTGGTCAGAACAAAAATCAAAACTCCATATGGACACAATATGGCAGAAATTGAGTCAGACACCTTCATTCTAGAGTATCTGCTGAATGTAAAAACAATAATGAAGAGAAACAACGGTCATACACACTGAGCAAATCAACACACAGCATACCTACCCAACTGATTGTCTTTAATATTTAAACAGAAATGTATACATCTCCCACAATAAACAATGTCAAGAATAAATTCCAGCACAACAATCAGCTCAATTTCCTGAGAAGTAGCAACTTCATTTCAAAACAAACCACACCACCACATCGATTACGGTTTAATTTGTTTACTGTGATCATCTGTTTTCAATCAACAAGCACAATAAATACAGTTAATCGCAACACACGAGTTTTCACAGAACACCACCAGCGTAATTTAAGGTGTTTACTGTCACTCACAGAATAATCATGACACAATGATATCCCCCCCTGCACACAAGAGATATGTCTACATATTGAGAAGTGACCATCACAACATTCAAACATAACAGCATTGGCAGAATGGTGATGCTTATTTTGGAAAACATCCCAAACTTTTTTCAGCAGGTGGTGCAGAAACTGCAGATTATGGTGACTGGGGTCACCCAGGTTTGTTGTGGGCGATGGAAGCCTGGAGATGCTGGTATTGGGGATTCTGAGATGCTAAGGGGTGTGGAAGCTTGTGGTATGCAATAAGCATTTATTTTGACAGTGGGCCAAAGGTATGATTCAGCTCAGCTATGTTATTAGCGGACGCTCCATGTGACCTCCGACCCCAAAAAAGTCAATAAACTGAAACCCCTCACACACAAGCAGGAAAAAGTACTTTGTGGGCAATTTAGCAAAATATGACTTAGATTAAATATTGATTGTCCTTCCTTTGAAGTGTATTGCAAGATCTGGAATGGAACGGCCAAGAATGCAAAGGCAGACTTCAGAAGTGGAGTAAGATTATCGCAGTAATACCGTGCACAGATGGCTCTGGCGTTTTTTAAACTTGGGGTTTTTTGTCAGACAGAGGCAGTTTCATGAAGTCGTTATCTGACTGAGGTGAGCACAGAATTTTAGAAGCTTATCAAAAGCTATGGGGGAGGGGGGGCAATAAAAACAGTAGTGAAATGACAGCTTCATTTGATGGTTTGACCGCTTTAGTTTGTCTGTCTTACGTACATAAAGCCAATACATTTTTTAGCTAGCAGTGCTCACATTTGCACTTCATTTAATTGGCTGTCATTTTTTTTTTTTTTTTTTTACACACAGCTTAAAACAACAAAGCTACCTTGAATCATTCAAATGGCCCCTTCAGCAAAAAAGACAACACAGCATTTCTCACCAATGGTACACAACACAAGACAGGCTCCTATACGCTGTGGCAGAGGAAACAGCGGCTGATGTGGGAGCGGATGAATTCACTCATCAAATCTTCCGTCCAGAATGCTATCGAAGGAGAACGGAATGAACTTGAATCCCTGTCCTGTGTAGAACTTGTTCTGGAACTCCACCCTTAAGACCAAACACAGCACAAACAGCTTTATTGAAACCAGCATATCAATTCAGCCCAGCATACATCTTCTTTATGCATTTATTTATATGTTCATTCAACCATTACAACACATTTCAGAACAGTAATCATTAAGAACCATAGTAGTAAAAACAAAAACATTTGAATAATAAAAATAATGAAGATGTTTTGCACATAAACACACACATTCCATAAAGTTGTCACACACCAAGTTAAACATCCATCGAACCACACCCGGCCAGTCCCCCCCCCCCACCCCCACCAGAACACACCTGTAGCCCGTCTACTTGACTAATTGGCACGGTGTGAAAGCCCCCGGTCTCAGCTCACTCCTTGAGAAGAGTGTTTGTTTCATGATCTGCTCTCCATGCGGGACTCCTGCATGTCGATTTGTTTGCCTTTGCTTTCTTCTACCTGCTTTTTCACCCTTGCCTCCCTTTGGAACATGATTCTGGAAATAAAGCCCCACACCTGGATCCTCTCTCTGTGTCCCTGTCTAGAGTTGCAAAGTGGTGGAAAATTTCCTGGAAAGTTTCCATGGAAATTTTAACATTGGAATTTTGGGAATTTATAATGCATGAGGAAAAAAAGGTTCTGACAAGTAAAGGGATCTGAACAGCTTTGTGGGATGTCAGCATTTTATTTGCACCTTCAGTGGAATGAGGGCAAAGTCTAGGGCAGCTTGGCAAAGCTTTTCGAATAAGCAAGACCTTTGAAACTGAGAAGGAATCTAGCAGCAACCGAAGCACATCTCAACATCAACCACTGGGAGGGTTTTTTCTCTTATCTGATGCCCTGTCACCGGCTGCAACAAAGGTCTTACAGATGTTGACAGCGTCAACTGCCTCTGAACGAACCTGGCCTCTCTTTTGCAATATGCTCACAAAAGTCTGCAACGGGCTCATAGAGGTACAGCTGGAGAAACTGGTGGCAGTTTGGGCAAACCTGAGGCCCTTTGACACAAAGTCTGATTTCCAGATTGTTCCTCCAGCTGCAGCAGTCGATAAAAACTGATATGACCCATCAGTCTCCTCAGGGCGAAGGTAAGACAGGAATCCTGCGTCAGGGTCCTAGGCTCCCGTACAGCATTTATATTGCGCAGCTGTTGGGTTTAACTATGAGCCTGGAATTACATTTGGAGAAAGAGGAGCAGGGAACAAGCGGCTCGGAGGAACAAAACCAAACCAAATATGGAGTGCAAAGCAAACCTCCTTCCCCTAATAAAAACAGACCTTTCAGATTGAAAGAAGCTAACTGGACACTGCCACATAAAGTGAGTTGCTATCGATTCTTAATATCATAAAGCAAATAAATCATGCGCATTATTTCTGAATTACAAACAAAAAGGTGCAGACCTCATGGAAAAAATAAACATTCAGTATACACCTTATGCTCACAAAACGTCATAAAATAAACACTGCATGCTAAAAATATTAAAATATTACATTTATGTACTACATAAACCAGTGTAGAATTATTTTTCGTTTTATTAATCAGAAAATGAAAACAGTGGCCTCTTTGGTACTTGGCTCCTCCCAAAACTCAAGTTCCTCTTCAGTTCACTGCCGGCAGACATTCCTGCTGGTCTGCAGGCTACTTTGTGACATTCCACAGGGGAAACTATAAACAGAATTTGTCTGTCAGAAAGACTGAATGCTGTTTAGACAGAGGACCTTATTCTCTTCTCGGTCATTTTGAAACAGCCATCGGGATTCTTGTATGCAACACATGAAGGCAGCTACACAGCCGCACAGAAACATAGCTACTAACAAACAGAGTGACTGTCAGCTCGCAGCATCCCGGCAGCCTTGCTATGTCGACACAAGGACAATGCAGGTCTCACACTGTCCAAACGTGTCACAAGAGACACCCACCCTGCATCAATGTTAAAAAAAAAGTGCTTTTTAAAAAAAATCCGTGCTACCTCAAATTTATTATCATTATATAAATACCTACAGACCAGTTTCATTTGAGGTGAAAGGGGGCCAAAAATTACATGAAGAGATTTCATAACACACACATAAAATAAAATCGCTTTTCATGTAATTATATTATATTCTCAACCATCACAGAATGTCTCAGCTACATTATAAACTTAACAGCTAAGAAATTCATCTGATGGAACTGATCCTCTTTTGTTGTTTCTCAGTACCTGTGGTGCTGTGATAACTTCAGAGAACCAAGTGCGGGAAAAATTACAAAACGGAACTACAGAGCTCAGGGAACAGCCTGCCTGTCATTTAGATAAGCGATAAGCAGGGCTTAAGCAGCTTTTCCACGGCCTCGCTTTCAATTTTATTTTTTCACTGTTGAGTAACAGTGGGTATGTTTTTTTCCCCACTAAAAGAAGCTTCAGGTCAAATGTTTATGAACATAAGAGCAGCAATCTCCTCTTGGCATGTTGCGAGAATATTCCAGGCATCTCGCCAGGAAAAACAAAGATGTCCAGCCAGACTTCAGTGATACCAGTCTGCTAAATGCCTTGGTGCCTCTCTGCTCTGTCCAAAGCTGGACTTACCCTGGATTCCCTGACCAAGCGTGAGGTCAGCTCAAGGCCAGATGATGGCTGTGATATGTCTTACAAAATTATGTTTCTGGTCACCTCCAGAAATCGTCACTTTACCAAAAGTAAGAAAATGCACACACACATGCAAAGAATCCAACCAATCAGACTGCTCAGTATCCATGACGATCTGATACCTTTTAACAATATATCATTACAGGTCCTTCTGAGGCATGTTCTCAGGTTCCCAGTTGTTTTAACCTTACTCTATACATCTGCTACTCTTAAAAAAGCACAAATCAAACAGGAGATACTAGGACATCTAGACCTGCTTGGACCTCATTATGAAATCATATACCTTAATACCTAAGGTTGTTTGATTAATTATGTCCTGTATAATAATTTCTAGTAAATGTGTTAGAATAAGTTTGTGACTCCAGGTGTGCAAAAATAGTATTCACAGCTGTCATCCTATAAACATACAGTACTGTGCAAATGTCTTAGGCAGTCAAAGATTATGTTTAGTGCTGTTTATATGGGTAATAAGTGTATATTTGTTCAGGAAAAAAAACAACATATGCAAAGTAAGAGTAACACAATAAAACTAACAAGATTTTTTTTCTCCAATAAGTTACTGATATCTTGTTGGATGTCTAGAAGAATATCACTTCGGTTGCCAAACCTTTCCTAAGGGCAGTCATTAGAGGAAATTTGTAAACACAAATTTCAGTTAATGTCAATTGTCACCCACATGACCTACTTCTTATGACATTAATGTAACTGAAGGCCAACATTTTATTCAAATTTATATTTGAGGTTTTGTTTGCATTCCTCTCACTGGTAAAACCCCATTAGGAAAACACTGAGGTTGCAGTATGCGGTTGCACATACAAAGACGTGGTTAAAATCTGGCCAAAAAAACAATGCGACTGTGGTTAAGGTTCTTGTGGAGGATGTCGGTCTTCCCTCTTTTCGTGGGGTGAGCTTTGTATTCCCAGAAGCCCTCACTGCTACCTTAAGAGACTCCAGGCCCATTGTAGGGTCAGGGGCTGGGTTTCCTGCAGCCCAAATGCCAAATGTCACACTCTAAGCTTTCTGCCATGTGAGGGGAAGGGAAGGAGGCTCTCTGACTCAATGGAATTCATAAGACACACAGAAAGCCGCTGGGCCTCCTTTTAGGAATGGTACACTTTTGCCCTAACAGTATTTACAGAATAAGATTAAGGATGTAATAGGTCAAAGGCAGGAAAACGTGCTAAATGAAAAGCAAGGGGATTCCCATGACAATTTTCATGTTCAATTAAATATACATTAATATTCCCCTTGATATTCAGAGGCTCCTGTTGTTGAGTCACCACCAGTTATGGTACTATTAATACAAATGACAATGGACTGAAGTCCCGACCCGCATGCACCCCAGCCCTGTGCGCTCTTCTGCCTGGGATGGGCGGCCGGGAATCTCAGCCCCTGACACGACAATGATCACCGTATGAAGTTACATTTGTGCACCACGCCGCACGTGTGCTTCCTCTGGTCCAGCCTATTTGAGATGAGCGCTTTAAGCTATTCTTGTGACGTCCGACTTGTGAACCACCTCAGGCGTCGCTCCCCCACCGATTCCCCAACTGTGACTGCAGGAGTTTTAGGATGCCTTTGATAAATATACAGTGAATGGCATATTATAAAAACTGACAATTGTGATAAAGTGAGAATAGTCCTTCAGAGGTCATTAGGAATGTCACTGTAAGCCTTTGTTATAATGCTGGCACTATCTGAGAAAAATGAAACTAAAAAGCAAATTTAAAGTTGGGCAAATTAAAAAAACTCATCATTAATACTATATTATTAGCCACATAAATTACAAACACAGAACAATCATATTACAATCATCACAACTGTATGATGATTAGAAAATATCAAACGGTGTTCATCGGAGTTGTGACCTACTGTATAGCCCTGTTGACATGGCAACCATAGCCTGAGCATGAGGAAAGCAGGGTATGGGTGCAGGAATGCCTTACTGGAACGGCAAATATTTTGCAAGGGAGTTGAGAAAGTGCAGGTTAAACACAGAGCCGAAGAAGCACAGGCGTCTTTTAGGTCCTCCTCAGTCCTACATTAGCCTAACCAAGCATGGAAAATGTCAGATATACTGACTCTATATTAAGACTTACTCAGTGTGTATGTGTTATTCCATAGGCAACCAATTTGGCTGCTTTCAGGTCAGTAACAGAATTTAGAGGGGGAAAGTGAGACATTTCTTAATAGCATAATGTTTTTCTTGGCACAATCTTTAGATGATCTGTGGCAGATAGGGTCCTCATCTCACCATTTTTATAGTTTTACCCCACTGATCATGAACAGCTGCCAGAGAATCACTCCACTTTACGTGTTTCTGAGATGTGCCAAGTTCCCATAACTATGTTTTGGCAAAGCTAGACCTGTAGTGAAGGAGTACTTGAGAAAACTCGCATTTCAGCAGTGATGGGCAGAATGAATGTAGAAAAACAATGGAAAAGCATTAACTTCTAACCTGTTCCAATGCAAATACACTGAAGTTCATATCAAATGTATGAGGTAAAGTGCTTATTAGCCTTTAATGGCTTATAGCAGTCAAAAGATTATTTAAAAAAAACAAATCCAGTTCTTTGGATCAGCAAATGCCAATGAACTGCGCCGTACAGGCAGTGTCCTTTTAGGCGAGGTTTCTTTTTTTTTCTCCAATGATATTTTTATAACACCACAGTCCTGAAACATTACCTCAGCCTGGAAATGCCTACAATTCTTCCACCTGACTTTTAACCATTACAGATTCTACACAGCTTGTAAATGACAGAAGTACAGGCCTATGGTCAATTCAGGCTTCCCCGGTTGGAAAAGCAGCACAGACATTGACCTCAAGAACAAGGTGAGACTTTTAGGTTAAAAAAAGATAAACTCCATCTACTCCATCTATAAACTCTGTCTATAAAGGCCTTAAATACATTTATTTGCAATAATTCAATGAGTAACAATTTAGAAGAAACGCCTATACAATAAGTAACAATAGGCAAAATGCAGTGTCTATAATGAGTACCAATTAAGAGCCAGTGTGCAGTGCCCACAATGATGAGTAACAGTTTAGAGGCAGCCTCAGCACTCTCATCATAAGCACTAAAATGTTATGTATGAAACAAGTAATCATTAATAAGCAGTGGGTGTGTAAGAAAGAATTGAATAACAGATGAACATAAAATGGCTGATTTCTCTTTCTGCAAAATTTAAACAGATCTTAAAAAGATCAGTTAATGACCGCCAACACACTTCAGCTGGTTCAGCTTCACTGGCAGCTAGTTGCCATGGAAATAGCACAATAGATACATACAAGGATACACACACAGATAGTGTCTGAGTCAAAAGTTAGAGTTGGCAGGAGGATGCAATCGAATGACCCTTGAGCACAGCTCTGAACCCAAACTGCTCCCTGGCTGCTGGATACTGGCCAACCTGCCCTGAACCCCAAACCTGCTGTCACCTGTACATGTTACTGTGCGTCTCTGGAAGAGCAAGATGGGTTGGCGAAATCCCAGTTTCCCCATGGGGATGAATAAATTAACAGCTTTCTACTATTCTATTCATAACGATTACTCTTAATGTCTTTACAACTGTTTTTTTTTTTTTGTTGCCATTCCTTGATGGGCATCTATTCCCCACACATACTCACCAGTGCAGGCGGAGAGCATGCAGGAAGGCTGACAGGCCCTCCATGATCAGCAGGATGCAAACGGTGAGCGTGGCGAAGGCTGAGAAAATGATGGATAAGCCGAAGAAGCCGCCATAGCTCCTGGAGCTCAGGCCGAGGCGCATGACCATCCCCCACAGCACCTCAGATAGCTCTGTGGGACAAAGAGAAGTAAAGAGGCGCACTTCAGTGCCCGAATACCACAGCACAGAACGTAACATCCTGTTAATTATCTTCTCATTGACATGCTGCGGCACCAGAATAATTTAATATCCACTTGGGGCTAAAAACTGTATTCATGAATGAGTCCAGCAAAAAGTACATTAACAGTGCATATGGCAAAAACGTGACGGGCGCCACGCCTAGATGTAAGAGGGCGAAAGTAACTGTCATTAATGATAGAAGATGCTGGCATTCCTTGGGAAGCTGTCAGATAGAGCTTTGACACTCACGTGCATGAGCCAAGCTTAAAGCCCAAAGGCGGAGATAGGAGGCTGTGTTGGAGATACAGCCCAAGCAGTACTCAATGGTGTGGATGGCCTGGTGGACTGCTACATCTCCAAAGTTAAACTGCAGGGATAGAACAGAGGGAACAATGCAGGGAAGCTCTGGGCTAAATCCTTGATGTAGTGCACTCTTTGTGTGAGGGTAATATGTATAAGTAGATCTGGCCTCTATTCATTGAGGCACGTGAAGTACAGGAAAGGCTCACATCTCACAGCAAAAACAGTTTATCTGGCTTCACTGTGGCACAACATGCCATTATGTAACAAAGCAGCAACATGTATCCTTTTCTACTTATAAATCCAAACAAAAGTCTTCACATATACATCTATACACCAATGTTAAAATGCATCTTATTCATACTGAAACTTTACTCTTGAGTAAAAACAGATTTATATTATAAACGCTTTTCAGCTAAATAATACAGAATGTGTATTGTGACAGACCAACATCAAGATGACAAAAATGGACGTCAAATAAAAGTTTTGAAGTCCTTTTGAGCTTCTTTGCTTGTATGTTATTCTATGGCCTTCACACTACATCAATGGGTAAACTGGGAATGCTGTTGTTTCTAAGGCAACATAACATCCATCCATCCACTTTCCAACCCGCTTATCCTACTGGGTCGCAGGGGGTCCGGAGCCTATCCCAGAAGCAATGGGCACGAGGCAGGCATTTGGTTGTTCACTCACACATGCACGCCTATGGGCAATTTAGTAACTCCAATTAGCCTCAGCATGTATTTGGACTGTGGGGGGAAACCGGAGAACCCGGAGGAAACCCCACGACGACATGGGGAGAACATGCAAACTCCACACACATGTGACCCAGGCGGAGACTTGAACCCAGGTCACTGAGGTGTGAGGCAACAGTGCTAACCACTGCACCACCATGTCGCCCCAGCAACATAACAAAGAATACAAAAAAACAATGAGGATCTTCTGAGTCAGACCCCTATAATTTGGTTAATATGAAGAAGATATTTTTCACTCTGTTCTAAGCTGGCAATTGGATCTCTCCAGCAAAACATATTTTCTTACATAAGGCGCTTGTGAAAACATACTAGACGTGATGACAGGAAGTACAAACCACAGCTGACAATTCTTTAATAGAAGAAAGGCTGAGACTGTTCTTCTATACTATTAGCTGTGAGTTATCAAATATTTATGAAATGGGGGTAGAGAGAGTATTCTCAGAAGGACTTGAAATCAGATTAAAATGAGATAGTTGGGAAACATCTTAAAAAACACCTGTTTCAGAGAAGACGACACAGGAGTTTACCTCATCTCCGCTAAATCAGTCCACCACTATAGAAGACTCCATCTGTTCAAGCCATTAAGATCTCTCTCCAGTTTCCCCAGAACAGTTATAGATTTTTGCCATTAGTATTCACATGAATACATGGAAGCCAAAACAACACACGGTGCTTGCAAGACAGTGAATGTCAAAGATGAGGATAATGCAGCAGATGACAACAGACAGAGCAAGTGGAAGACGTGATAGAGACACAAGCCAGTAACATGCAAAGTTCTCTTACCACTTCCTCTTCTGCATGCTTGAAAATAATTGCAGATTATGTTTATTTGCAGAGTCACAACACACACAAGTTAATTTTAGCAAAGGCTACCGTCTGGAGGTCAGTGCTGATGTAGAATGACACACTGAGAATGTATTAAGATGGGTGCTCTAGAGCAGGGGTCTCCAAATCTGGTCTTGGAAGGCCACAATCATCAGATTTTCCAGCTCTCATTAAATATATCATGGGACAAATTATAGAGTAAAAGGGATATGGGGTGTACCCCCACTTAAAATCCTTCCAGGTCTAGGTTTGTATGACTCAGCTCTAGAGATGTGAACTTCCCCACATCAGCTGAGCTGCCATCTGAGATCACAGTGTTTCAGATTTTAAATAAAAATGGTCATTCCGTTTCAGAATATTCAGCAGAAACCTGTTCTAAACAAGAATGCTTACAGAGAGAAGCCTTATGGAAAGATTAGGATTATATTGTTGTGTCTTGATCAACTCCAATTTGTATCATGTAGGTAAGAAAGTCTACGTTGTTTTTCTTTTGTAGTAGTGTACTTGAAATTTTGATATCATAGCTTAATCATCTTGACATGACCCATCAGCAAAACTGTACACTGAATTTTAGGAGCTTTGTCTTAGGTAGTAGGCCTGTTATAAGATACAAGCTGAAAAGTATCCCACTTCCATTTCAAAGTAGTATCCTAACAAGGCTTGTTCTTAGCCTGCTAGGCTACACTTTAGATCTCAAAGCTCAGTAATGCAGATATTCAAAACTTTCGGTAAGAGCTACATTTGCTTTGCTAAAGCAAAAAAATCTGCCGTGCAGGAGTAGGTTTGGACTTTGGAGATTGTCATCGGGGGATGCAGGTGGGGTGGAGACATGGGTCAAAGAGCCATAGCTCCTTAGAGTGTGGCACTTACCTCATCATCCTCAGAGTGCTGAGACAGCTGGTCGTGCTCAATGATCTCTGCTTCATCTTCTGTGGGCCCGTTACCAACCCGGACCCCACCAAATTTCTGAGTGCCCTGTTGAGTGAGTCCCGTGCATGATGAGGACACACCTGTTTGTTCTAAAGATTCTAGATTCTCAGCAGGGCTTTCTTCCCTCTTCTGTGACTAGATACAAAATCCAAAAGTCTTCTTTTGGCTTGAAGCATGCCTTGGGTTTACTTTTCTGGGTATGTACCAGACACTCACATGCACAAGTGAATATTTTGAATACTTTTACTTGCCAATTAATATCTATGACTAAAAAAAGATATTCCTTTTTTATACTATAAATGGATTAAAAGTGGCACACAAAAATAATAAATAATGCTAAACTACATTTACAAAATATTTGGTCAAAATGCTACACCAAAGAACTTGGATTTAGTCACAGTCTACCCAAGAGATACTTCAAGCATTTAAACAAACCCAACAAAAAGTCATGCTTAGGGCAACCTTTGAAGACTCCTAAAGCCACTTTTGAAAGATAAGATTGTTAGACATACAGTACTCTGCAAAAGTCTTAAGCCATCAAAGAAAATGTTTGTCTAGGTTGCAAGTCTGCTCCAACAAAAACACAATACAACATTAAAATGCATGCAAATAAGATGCATGTTTAGACTTATTTAACAGATGCTTTTGTCCAAAGTGACCTACAAGTGAGGCAAATAATACCTTAACAACAGAAGAGTTAGACAGAAAAAATAAGTTCTTCTGTCCTCCAAACGGTTACTGATATCTTGTTGGGTGGCTAGAATAACACAGTTTCAATTCCCAAACCACTCCTCTCCCCAGCCATTTCATTAAATTTAACTAGTTGCTCACTTAATTAATGTACTTTATCAGTTAAATAATTCAATGATGTGTTCATTAGCCAAACAAGATTTGCTAGTGGTTGAGTCAACAAATCCATGAGTATTTTGGATGGTTATTTCAAAAACTGGGGTGACATCAAAAGAGGTTTGGAAATGAGTAAGGTAACACACATTTACACATATGGTATTCTATTTTACACCAACACGAGATGATTTAAATACAACTCTCTTGGGCAGCCCAAGAGTTTTGCACAGTACTGTATTTATGGTACAGATTGACATACCAGGTGTTTCTTCCACAGGTACTGACGACGAAGCACCATTGTTTTCACAACCAGCATACAGGGAACACATGCAAGGGCAATCACCACCAACAAAGACTGGATCCCCATCTATAGATTCAAACAGAAAGAAGTTAGGTTGCACACCCAGCGAAAGGCACTAGGTTCCATTTCTTCTCTGACACTCAATTCCATGGTCCCAACGCACAGACAGGGACCATCACCTGTCCACTGTAGAGGGTCTTGTTTGTGGGGTCACTGTAGTTGAAGAGACACATATTGATGAAGGCAATGAGCAGGCTTGGGGCATCCTTGGAGGTGGCAGCATCATAGGCACCCCACTTGTAGAAGATAAGAAGGACCAGATATCCAAAGAGGCTGCTCATGAAGACTATCTCAGGGATGAAACCAAGGAAGATGTTCAGAGGCTTCTTGAAGTACCTTTGAAATCACAGGACAAAGAATTAAGCAACAATGTGGCTTAAAAATAATGGTCTTATACTTCTTTGATCTCAACACTTAATGGTCTCAACACTGCGTCTTAATTAAAACTTTTCTGTAATTAAAAAAAAAAAAAAAAAACAATTTTGAGACCCCTGAGAAATATCTTGGAACCTACAGATGATTGAACAAGCTGAGGGTGACCCCAAACAGCATGTGGACCACACCCAGAATGACGGACATCTTCATCTTAAAAGAGTTGAGGAAGGTGAGCTTGTTTTGGGCAATGTTCCAGATCTATATATAAAAAACGATCATTAGACTCAGACATTCATATAAAAATAAATAAACCACCACATTTGCATCATGAACCTATTGCAGGTAAGGTACAGTATGAACTCTTACCGGGTCAATACCCAAAGGATAAGGTCCACCGAAAACTCCTTCTACTGCTGGATCTATCTGTAACAATGCATTATCTTCAAGTGTTTTCACTCTAAGGAGACAATTGTAAAGATGTAAGTATAAAGTATACTATTCATTACATCTACTATGCAAACAAATATGCAATCAGCAGACAATGAAAAATTCCAACAACTTACGACCAGTTGCCTCCCTTGGGTGAAAACATGGGTCTCACACTCCAGCCCGATCCAAACATATTAAGTGATTTTGAGAAGCAGTCATTGTAGATGATTCCAGTGTAGACAGAAAAGACTCCCATCAGGAGTATGATGTAGCGCCCAGCAAACACCATATTGAACATCTGGATTGTATGAGAAGGATATCATGAAAGTCATTATTTAAGTTGCCTGATAAAGGTGTGGACAATGATTGAGCTTCCTAAGTTTTGTGGCTGTATCATATGAACATGCGCATCAAAACCCTACTATTAACACCAGAATCAGGTGCCAAAGTCAAATAAGAGTGATCAGACATCTCACAATACTTGTAACAATGTGCATATGCAAGTTAGGGTAACTGGTGTTTGTTCTTTGATATTTAAAAAAATTAAAATCCCATCCTCTCCAGGACTGCTAGAGTGAGACTCCAAGATTTGTCCTCACCTCATTGTCACTCTTTTGAGAGAGGAGCCGACTCTCCCTCAAGACCAGATAGAGGGCAGCACACATCATGAGTAACCCATGGCCCATGTCACCAAACATGACAGCAAAGAGGAAGGGGAAGGTGATGATGGTATATGGGGCTACAGGACAGACGTTACAGAGGAGAGAGAACAAGATTCCCATTCCGTTATCTAGGCTCAACGCTTATTAATATTTCATTGAGTGTCACAATGCTGTACTTTCTACAGTACCTCACACTGAAGTCCTAATTCTGCATTTTACTGATTATTGATGAGGCATGAACCATAACCAAGAGCCTTAATGAAAGTATTTGCGACAGAACTTGCACAACGACCAATAAGACATATGCATTCTAATCAAATCAAGCATTTGGATCACATGTCCAGCTAATCATCTGACAGGAACAATACTTAATATTTGTGGAAGAAAGTTGAGGAATGTTAATTAACACAACTAGACTGCAAAGCCTGTGCTGTTAGTTGATGTTATTAGTGGTGTTGTCTTCTTTCATACTTCCTATCCATCTCAGCCTTGGCTACTGAGATGAGCAGTGTGACTTTCCTTCCAAGCTTGGCTTGATGAGACTGGGAGTACCACTTTGTTTTATATTAGGCCCAGGTGCAACAACTAGAGATATAATGTTCTGTCTGAAAAGTCTTAGAAATAGTATCTTTGAATTATGCAATAAAAATCCAATTGCTCTTGGAGGCCCTATTATTGCTCTGAGAAATTGTTCATCTGTGCTCACTACCTCAACGTTTGTTGATGTGTGCAAGTCTTGCTCGAGCAGTAATGGGGACATTGCATTCAGTGCTGAATTACAGTAGGTACTTAGAACAAATAGAAAATAATATATTCTCATTATATAAGAACCAAGCCTCCAGGTGAAATTTCTGCAATGGATTATTCATGACAGAACACAAGTGTGTTGGGAGGCTGCAAGTGAGGCCTAGGTTTTTTGTATTTAGATTAACATGGGTGTTCGTTACCTGGGTTGATCTCCCTGTATGTCCCAATGCCATAGGCATCCACAATGTTCTGGAAGCCAGCGGTGAACTTGGTAGTCTTGTTGAAGGTGGGTGGAGTCTGCTTGGTCTGCATCCTGTTGAGGATGGAGGGCACCGTAGAGCCGCTCCTCTCCTGCAGGCGGACAGAGGACCATGCTGATGCTGGTATCTCATGCCCTTTACGCCACAGGAGAGGACTCTTTGCTCAAAGAATCTTAGGGCAAAGTACCTCATGAGAAGATGACAACCTCATCGGGTACTTAACATCCATGTTTTTCCCCATTACCACTTATAACACAAAGAGATCATGTCTGCATACACAGAGCAGGAGTAGGAACTGAACTCTCTCAGCTTTACACAAGATAAGTCATATCTAACATATAATGATAACTTCACTGTACAGTCTTAGGTTATATCCAGACACACATAATCAGTTTAGAAGTGTTTTGGTTAGCTCCCCAAATACAGCAGGTGATGCGAAATATCCTAAAACTTATGGTGCTGGCCAGAGACAAACTGTATCTGCATGACCTATAGCACACCAGGCGTGCAGTATAAGGAGCCCAGTCCGACCACAGCCTGTTACGAAATGAGAGGAGAGAGCAGCAGAGACCGTACGCTCATGCACTGCCATTTAAACAATCAGTCTGAGATTCCAATGCTCCTCTCCCACTCTGACCGCTGACCTCAAGGAATTCCACCAATGACGCAGTGAGATCGATGCCACTTTGCCTCCTCTGCATCTGGAATATAATCTTCTGCTGGGTGTGGACCATAACCTACCCACACATTACAGCTGTACTTTTCAGTGAGCTGTCATTTTTAGTAGAATCCAAATTCTATTCAAATGCATATAAATATCCAGACCACTGCTTTCATCTCACTTAGATACAAGAGTACACCATACCTTCAAAACATGTTTTCCACACCTAATTGTGCGCATAGGCTATTCATACCCCTGACTAAGCATTAGTTAACTTAAGGGGAATTACTGTTTTGAGTGATCACATTTGTCATTTAATAATTCTATTTACATGTACAGTCACGGATTTTCACCTAATATGCCATTCTTGAAGGAAAAGGGACAGCATGTGTATTAACAATATCTCAATATCTGAGTAAAAATTAAAAGGAATGTGCGCGCGCGTGTGTGTGCATATCTTAAAAAGAGTTGCTACAAACAATAAATGGTCTGTTCTACTGTAATCAAGCTGATTGTCTGGGAAATATAACAGCTAATAAGCCATGAAAAACCAGGACAGTTGAGGGTCTTCCTGTTTAAAAAGTGACAGGTAGTTGGATTCACGCCCGGCAAAGCCCAGAAAAGGTAGGCTCAAAAGGCTGGGTATCCTGTCCCTCTCGTCACTCTACAGTGACCTCTACTGTCAGCTAGGCCCCTCCAGAGCAGTGGATGGAATCAAGCTAATAGTGCTTCTCTTCCTAGTTTGTTAGGCTGCTCGATGAAGCCCACAGCCCACATACTGAGATGAAGCAGGTGACTAATGGCACATGTGCAAAAAGGCAGCCCCTGTCTCTCAGACAGAAGCAACTAAACAAAGCACAATCCTCACAGGCCCCGAAATCCATTAGCAGTGGAAAAAATGACTGTGAGCCCAAAAGTCAGCCAAGACGATCAAAGGCAAGACAGTAATTCCTGTGTACTTTAAAGTCCTGGGTGAAAGATCACTATAATGCCCCTGGGCAAAGGAGGAAGTCCAACAGTTTGCTGAGGTGGGATGTCAACCAAACATGACTAATATTCATAATAATACAAGGAAGCGACTTGTGGCTGGTGAAACAATCACACAATAGAACTTCACAGATATGGCCGTGCCTATGTTATGATTGGCCTCACGTTTGCATATTATTTCAGAGTCTTCATGTTCCTTTGAGTTACAAGTTTGGAGCAGAAGTTGAGGACACAAAACAAGCCCATTGAAGTATTTAGACATACCTGGCTCAAAATTCACATCTTGATTGAATTATGAAAGAAAGCTCTTGCGTATTACAACAGTAACCAAGACAACATTAGGTTTCAGTCAAAAGGATTGGATGACTTAGGACACAAGACAGCATGACATGCTGGCGAACTCACCGTGCCCCGTCGCAAGGCAAACTGGATCGAGTCCAAGTCAGAAACGGGACACCACACCTCGGCAATCAGACACTTCTGGGTGACGTCAATGTTGCAGAGGTTCAGGGTGTGGTATATGGCCTTCATCTTCCTAACTTTGATGAACCAGACCCTCATCGTCTTGGCGGCGGCCTGCAGGACCCTCTGACGGTGGTCTTCAGTCTGATTCAGCACCTGAAAGGACATCGAGGATGAGGTCAGTGCCGAAGCAATGGGACATGGTGCACTAGAGAGGAATCTGTAAGAATGACCTGAAAATGCAGAAAAGCTAAAGGAGGACACCACCATGTTAACTGCCTCACATTACAGCATTTATCAAATCGAGCATATTGCTGTATCCAAGTTTAAACTACACTGAGTCATATATTCCACCAGGGGAGAAACAACAGCTCATCTGACTTAATGTTGTTGTACTGAACTTAATGAGGGGTTCACTGCATTTTGTTTTCACGGCAAAGTTGCAGATGCTGGGAATGAAGGCCACATCTGTGTACCAGCAGCTGGGGAAAGTGACTGTGTCTTGCCACCGCCAGTACACTGGTCTCACATGCAAACTGGTCCAAGTGGAGTGACGGGCGGGGGGGGGGGGGGGGGGGGGGGGGGGGGGGGGGGTCAGAGAAAGCGACCCCCTCCCCCTGCCCATCCCAGCTACCTCTGAATGCCTATGAAGTGAATCAGGAGGCTCCGTCTCCACGCCTGCAAACTGATCCAGCTGGCGGGGGCACAGATGAAGCGCAGCTGAATCTCTGACCCACTCCAGGAGGGGGGGGCGGGGGGGGAGGAGCAGTACAAAGCTGCAGGAGACATCCTCCATACAGGGGTGGGTGAACCACGCCAAGTACAGCGAGTTATACCGACAAGGGCAGTCCAAAGAGGTAAGAGTGAGAGACAGACCCTTTTTATGGGTGACAAGTGAAACAAGAGACAAACCTCCCTTAAGAAGGCATCAATTTTAGGTTAACACATCAAACACTCTCTAGCACAAGACAAATACGATGTTACCACTACCTTGACTTTACTCCAATAATCACTGCATTTTAGGATTCAATAATCTGAAATGAAAGACAATTGGTAATAAGTGGTCAGCAGCAGTGCGTTCAGAGGGCACTCACTGCAGCACCCTTTGGCTTGGCCTGGGAATTAAACACAGACTTTGGGAGAAAACAAAAGGGGCGGCCTTTGTACCCGCGCCAGCTGAACTTTAACAATAGCACCCGAATGAATCAGCAGGAGATCCAGCTTTTCAGGCCCAGATGTGGGGGCTCGATAAAGTTATCAGCATTCCCGAACCAGGCTCACACGGGTCCCTGCTGAGGGGGGGGGCCCCGAAAAGTCAACACCAGCGCTGGATGCCAGAAACATGGGTTTGACTCAAAACAGCTTCAGCTTTAGCTTCAGCTAGAGAATTCAGAGCTGAAGTGCATGTTTTCCAGATCACCTCGCTTCAACACTTCGCTAAACCCAAGGGCAGGTTCGGGCGCGCCCAGAACCGGAGGAGAGGCAGAAAAATGTTTCCCTGTGTCTGCTGTATCTTATTGCCTTGTGAAATAACCAGATGATTGTTAGCTGTAAGAGGTGCAGCAGGGAAATGTAAGCTAATACACTGATGGAATATCAGCATAAACCTACATCCCTTACTGTGTTAATCTGTTTATTGCCACTGCTCAGTAGGCCCTGTGGCCCTACTATCCAAAAAGATTTTGGTTCTAATTCTGTGCCAAACACAGTAATCATGTCACTGCTGATCCTGCTCTCAGAGCCCAAGCATTCCTCGTCTATGCACGGCTTTGGACAAAAACATTTGCTAAATCAATAAACATATACATTATGAGCATAATCTATCAGTGTTGACAACTTTGCTCAGCTGGCTGGCATGATTTTCAATTTGAGACGAGTCTGTATACTCATTTACATGTATGTAAGAGTTTTATTACCCTATAAATAATCTGCAGAGTTTACAAACTACCCCAATGCTTTTGATGTAGCTAATTATAGCTTTATAATGGAATAATATTAATTTGCCGCAAGATTTCTTACAAAACCTGAGTCAGAAAGCGTTTGACGCCAGATGCATGAAAGTTGGCAACCCTTCTGTATATAACCACTTTTAGTATGAAGTACAACAGCAACAAGGTGATAGTAAATAGATTTTAACAGAAAATAATGGAAAGTAATACATACTACAGTTAATGCAGTAAGGTTATCTTTGACACTGCACTTCTCTATTAGCTAGCGCCAGTTTAAGCTATGACATTAAATTAAGGTCCATGTGCTGTATTTCACAGTTAAGATGCACGTCAAAGAGGAGGTTGGCGTCTCTCTCTCGGCACAGTTATGTTCCTACGCTCACTTTCGCCTCTTACCATCTGGAGGTCATCGATGCGGGTGTTGACCCCAGCTGCCATTTCCTTCCTTTCTTGCGGAGTCTCCGGGCATGGGTAAAGAGAAGCGCGGAATCTGAGGACAGGAGGCAGGGCAAAAAAACAGCCCCGACACGACAGAATAATCCACTGTAAAGTCAACATTCATTATATGTCCAAAAAAACACTCTTGCTTCATGATGACAAAATGTCAACATGGAAAAAAAACTTATAGGAGAGTGTTGAAAAGTATAGAAACATTATACCAGATAAGGAGTTCTGGAAGACGGACGGACAGACGGACAGATGGATGTTTGAGTACGTAATGAAAACTTACCCCTCACATATTTTCTTCACCCTGTTTTTCAGCTGGTCTCCTTGGAAAAAGATAATGAACACCGACTTGTGAACCTGGTCCCCCTGTAGGGAGTGACACAAGGCATCAGGGCTGACCACACATCTGCCAGCTCACTGGAATATCACACCAACACTGCCTACTTTTCTGCTTGTACCAAACATTCGAAGCATCTCCAAATTCCAGGTCAAAAATCAGATTCTCCTGTAGACTGCAGAAGATCAGCTAGGTCTCCTGGTGCGGGCACTGGTCCATCCCTTTTTGGAAAACTCTCACTACTTTAAAAAAGAGTTGTCTATCTACCTTCTCCAATTAGCTCTTGAATTCAGTCACTCTGAGTTATGACCGGACCCCTTGTTGTGATGAAGGCCCTACTGTCTTGATTATATCCTTTGATTGCACACAGTCAATGGCATAAAACACTTTCACAAGCATCCCCTAGAGAATAACGTGCAGGATTGTCAACTTACAGCTTTCGTTTGACACTAAGAGCTACTATGGCACAAAGGGAGAAATGTTTCTGTCTACTGTAACTTAATATACTGGCTGCAACCCAAAGAAGTATATAAATGGCCCTTCATTTTATGTGATACCTATCGTGCAGTGATTCGCCAGATGGGCGGGTAAAGTTAGCATAAACACTTGTGAAATTCAACAGCTTACTTCTTATGGGTATTCTTCTACTACTTTTGTTAATTTTAAATATAAGTAAATTCAAAGTAGATAAATTATCTCCACTGAGCAACAGAAATTCACCAATGCTGAACACTGGAATTCCTAAGCTGTCAAAAACATTTCCACCCTGAAATCAAATACTCATAATCTGTTGTTATCCTTTTCCATTATGGCAGTGCTCTGTAAGAGATTAGTGCATATGGTTACACAAAATCAACATGCATTTAAGCAGATAACCCACAGTCAATAATCATACATTATCAACAACATCAGTGCACTGAGCCAAGGATGATGACAGCACAAGGACTCACCGTTGTGGGGTCTTCCAGGGGGTCCTCGATCATGGCCTGTCGCAGAAACACGTTACCACGGCACACCCTCCACAGCATCCTCTCAAACGTGGGGATGCGCTCCCTGTTGATAACTCCAGCCACAAACCTACAAGGTAAAACCTCTATAAATTTCCCAGCACCTCTCTATCCCACTATCATGTATGGAATTTAGGACAATGGAGATGTTTATTGGTGCTTTTCAACTGATTGCTGAGCTAATGGAAACCAATAAGTCCTTATTCGCAAAACTGCTCAGATTTGATTAGCTACATTAGGATTGGCTGTACGAGTTATATTCCACCCCTGTCGGCAGGGGAACGGTAGGTGCATGGATACCCTGGCAGATTCAGGGGTCCTTGAATATGTAAAATTGGGCAGGGCGGGGCAAAGCTGACCTATGCCTCTGCCTGTCAGTGAAGAGCACACTGATGTGAACGCTGGCCTGAAAAGCAGGCTGTCAGAATCACTATCATTCTACGGATGGCTAAAGTTGCATTAATTCATCAATAATTTACATTAGTGAGCACTGATTGAGGATTTACCAGTGAAGAGGTTTTAAAAATGGAGATGGAGTTTAAAATACAATGATATACACGATATTCATTTTTTTATATCATACATTTTTCAGGGCACCCCAAATGAAATACAACATTTAACGCACTGCTTATTTTAAGCGGAAATTTATTCCTCCAGGGCAAGGCAGAGGGACAGCCAGGGACACTCTCCTGCTTTGAGCTCTGCTCTTATGAATTTTTGTGAGTGCATGCTCTCTCGGAAGCTTATAATAGACCGGCGTGTCTCTTGGGATGCGCTCTGCATCACTGGGACGCTGACCGGAAAAAAGGTTATTAAAAGAGGATACTTGCATCATTACAGTCCTTAAGGGACTGGCTGTTTAATACGTTCAGCAGGAAGCCGAAAATAATATTAATGGTCAGTGTCTGCTTGGAGAAGGGTTAAGAGGAGCCAGATGCCAGGACTCACCCCAAACGCAGAGGTGCCCCACGTCCCGCTTCGCTGGGGTCCAGCAGAGAGGAGGATTCCTCCAGCAGATTGGGGTCCTCCATCTGCAAGTTACGACTTTAAAGTTTCAGCCCCCGTCTGCATGCCAAAAGCACTGCCCCCCCCTCCCACATCCCCACACAAAAAAAAAAATCAGACCAACATTTTGTTTGAACCAACCAGTTGAATATAAAGAGTCACAGTCACAGAGTACTCAACTGGTTGGTTGAAATAAATTGTTTTTTTTTTTTTTACTGTCTGGACCTAAAATGTCCACCTCTGCCCACCAGTGACAGGACACAAGAAATGACAGACACACTTATCCAGGAGAAGTATTGGAATGAAGGCTTTAAACAACCCTCCATTTTGAGGAAACCATCTTCAAATTGATAGCATTCAAATATTTATATATTAAGCATACTGACAGAGTACTAGGTAACGTGACGCCATCATTTCCAAGTTTACCCAAGCGCAATAACCAAAGAGCCACAACTACAATAAACTAAAGCCTGTATGTAGGCAATGCACTAATGGCACTGACTGCTAAACATGGATGAATAATTAGCATTTTTTACAGCACCAGAAATAATTTATTACTTGAAAGTAGAACAGAGAAAAACCACACCTTGCAACCTGAGATTAATCTTTAAAAAATGCTCAACTATTTTAAAATTGAACATCCAGGGTTGGGCACCCATAATATTTTCATACTTCAGACTGTTTTTCAAACCCTCTCAACTAACTGCTGCACACAGATTTAGCTAGTAAAGTAACCCAAAAATCAACATCTGGGCTGCATTAAATGGGTACTTTGCATGTATTGTATTTGGGCATTTTCTGCAGCTGTTTTTTGAAATATACGATTAAACATTCACAGAAAGAAAGGAAGCAGTTCTTGAGTTATGACACCTCCTTAACAAAACCTGAGAATGAAACACTGGAATCAGTGCCTACACCACGTTCCATAACTATGCCAAGAAGGCTGACGGACAGCCGCTGTGGCCAATGAGAAGTCAGAACGGCATGAAAGGTGGGAGGGCAGCCTGACCTCATCGAAGAACTGCTGTGTGCGACGCAGGATGTGTTTCAACTCCGTCAGTTCCAGGAAGTTCTTCTTCAGGGCCTCCTGGTTGGTATTGATCTCTTTCAGCTCATTCTCTAGTTTCTCAAAGGTAGCCTGTCAGTCAAATATGTGTTACTAGATTACTAAATGAATGAATTAGATATTAAAATAATGCAACATCTCCAAAAGTTGCATGCTGTTAACAGTCCTTTAAATAGCATTATTAAAGTACAAAGATACCTCCAAATCAATAATATCCCTTGGGAAAGGAACTTCAGGGTTCTCCCCAGTGTCCATAATTGGGATGTTGGCTTTCTTGATCTCCTTCTCCACAAATCCTTACACAAGTAATATAACAGTTACATTAAAAGCAGGTCATTCATGAGCATATATAATCACAGTGCAGCACAGTTAACTATCTAGTACATCACTTTGACCTGTATCTAGAGGTTGATGGGTTGTTCACATGTCAAACATAATATGCCTGATTAAAAATGTTGTTGGTTCAAGTCCACAACCATACTCATGCACAAAACACTTCATCAACTTTAGTATCATCTAGTTTAGTAACTGGAGCTCTTATCCTTTGAGAACATTGTTGCAGAATACAGATGTATGTGGTGTACGTCAAAATGTATATCACCTTTAATTGCTTAGACTAGCCTATCACACTCTAGGTATGACAAAGTCATTCATTTTTCTGACATACTCTTATGAAGAGTTCAGCTAACAAGCAACTGGGTCCATGTTCATTCGTCGATGATGCAAGCAACAGACCCACCGAGATCTTCTTAAACCTCTGCAGTCTGTGTGTTTCCTTTTGGTGTGATGGTAGGTTGTGTCAGACACTCACTTAGCTTGCGGTCCATCTCTTCGCAGCGTCGCACCTCGTTGACGAACTTGCGCTGGAACACGTTGACGTCAGGGTTCAGCTGCCATGGGGAAGGAGAGCATCTCATCACCATCTTCAATCGTGATTGCACATTCTTTGAAAGCATCAGTCCACTGTTCACCTTGAGCATTGGTAGGCTGAACCACCACACTACCAGTTTGGTAACTGGTCCCAGTTTAGCTTGACAAGCCGCTAATGTAGGGTTGTGGACAGGGGTGCTGGGGGGCATGCATGATATCCTGGCAGATTCAGGGAGGCAGCCCTTTATAGGGACATCTGAACATGAAAAATGATAATCTACACGCTTGGGTAACCCTGTACCGCCACTCTACAAATGTTACCATGGAGACCCCCCCCACCAGAGCTTCTAGCCACACCCCTGATTGTGAAATATTTGCCTCAAAGGAGACATCAGTCACAGGAATGAGAGGATGGACTGAGAACTTTATCTGGGGTTAAGTTTTGCCATCACCTGACCTCACACCACACTGACCAGTCCATGCCTCCCCATCTTGCAGGCTGATCCTTCTACACTCTCTGTTACTTTAGATTTCATGTTCATGCTTTACTAATTATACAAAGCAGGGTCATGGTCATTGGGGGCGGAGGTCATTTGCAGGCCATGCCCCCCATCAGATTTGCTCTGGTGCTGGCTTGGATACACACAGTGCTTACAGTACTAGCACTTCTTTGTTCTACCTCTCAGTATCTCTTGGTACTGAATAGCAATAGGATTCCAGTACCTGTTTTTCCCCACTTCAAGCACTTAATACAAAGTACTTAGACATGATCTGCCACTTAATAACAACAACTATAAAGAGGACAATACTACAAAATCAATACTTTAAATAGCAGATGTATACCAATCAGCAGAAAAAAAACTATCAGGTTTAACATTTCTCTACTCAAGAGCAAAGCAAGAACACCTCTTAACCCTTAAAAGTCACTCACGTCTCGGAACTGGACCATTCCCAGCTCTCCCAGCTCACTGACGCAGCAGTAAGCTGCCTCAGATTGGAGGAAGAGCTGTGCAAGTGTCATCTCCTCACTTCTGAAAAGCTCCCCCATGGTGGCTGCGAATATGGCAAGTCAAGCTTAAAAGATACACTTGATTCACTTTATCCCTGTGGAGACAAACAAACAAAGCGAAATGTTACATTGCATTAGTATGTTGATCCAGTGTTGAAACGTACTGATGGGAAATTCTTGCTCCTAAAAGACCTTGTTATCATAAATAACTATATGTTTTTATCGTATCCTTCGTGCTATTTAAGAAATGCTATTAGTTAAGGCTCGTAAATTTTATTTGAAACGTAAAGTAGCAGGTCTGCCTAACAGTAGCTATTGCGCATTCCATGCAATACTCATTTCTCAGGTAACATTATAAGATGTCAGTCTCACGAGTGCGAAATATTATGCTGTAGCGATACAAGGTCTACCGTTTTTTAAATATATATATTCCCACTTTTTTCACCGCATATGTATACTCGCATGTTCAGTATATAAACTATTTTATTAAATGCAGTATACAGCAATATATTACATACGTATGATCCAAATCTACAATTTACGTTTTTAAAGTAAATCAGACACACCGTCGTTTAGGCCTAAATCCTTGTATTCCCCGGATACCGGAGATTAAATATAGCCTATAGCATTTCAATGCTTAAAATATCGACAAATTTGCCCTTTTTACACGAAATATTTAAAGACAAAAAAGACGCAAACCTGAATTCATTGTTAAAAATGAAAATGGAAACAATTTCCACGAAAAACAATCACAGGTGTGAGTTATTCCAGCCTGAAAGACCATCTGCCGCACTATCCTTAACCTTTCAAGGACGCCATGATGATGATGCCCTGCTTGCATCGGCTTATCCGGTCAGCTACAAAAATCTTACATAACACATTTTAATAGCGGCACAAAAATGGATAGCATTGTTTATTAGTGAATGGGCAACACTTTTAAATATACTACGGAGAGAAACGTGATCTTGAGTTGTATTGTTCAAGATGTCCTCGAATTATATCGTTCAGAATTAATATATTGTTTTAATATTGGTATGGCAAGATATTTGAAATGGGACAAATAAATAAATGTGGAGAAAAATATTAATGGCTAACACCATTTTTTATCGCGTAATAACACAAAAAAATACGGATATTACCGCATCATCAATCATCAATATATAGCAGTTAATATAAATTCAGCGTCTTTAGCTTTAACCTCGAAATAACAAATCTTTTACCGCAAACACAACATTGAAACAGTTTAATAATCCCGTATCATATGTTATGTGCGCTGTCAGATTGATGTATCTCGTTAGACGGCTAATGTAGCTTTCTCCGTTGCATCCATACCTATTGAACCACGGTAGATATTGTAAGCCTGATGGCCGGTAAATTAAAGCGGCACAGCGGTTTTGCTCTTACAAATGCAAATCATCGTTATAATAAAACATTAATAAATATCAGGTATGGAAAGATTCTTAATCTGTAGCTTATTTTCTTTGGCTATCCTGCTGTCATAACATGAATATTATTAAGTGGTAATAAAAATTCATGCATGAAAAATAGGCGTTCGATATTACGCCTTAAACGCATGCCATTTTAAGAATTTTAAATCCTGAAATCGACTATTAATAAATGAATCGCGTACTGTAATAGAAGCCTTGCAGACCCCACCGCTCGCTCAGCCTCCGCTCACCAGCATAAACGTGACGTCATTCCACCGAGTACAGGGGTGGACCGGTCCTCCTCCCCCCCTCACGTTTTTGAATGGCATTATGGAGGAAACCCTGGACTGAACCATCAGCTACTAGATGTTTTTTTTGGTATCCGCTATATTATCAGTTTTTTCCAGCCATACCTTCATTTTCAGAGTATTCGGCTCAGTCTGCAGGGGGTTGACGCAGGGCATATTCTGGGGAGGATGTTAATAGATGGGTTTAGTTATTTAACTGATGATTTAATATGAAATAGTGATTTTTACACTTGTACATTGACTTATCAATCCAGTCAACTTCCAACCACTTATTCAATACATAAATTAAACAGAACATGAAGTATTACAGGAGACATTTGACTATGGGAACAATTAGGCAATTACTGGGTGAGTTTAACTGAAAACAATGTAAAATTATGTGATTGTTGTGAAGTTATGTGTGATGCATATATGCATGGATCAGCAGACGGTTATACTAACATTAGATAAATGGAATTGTGGTCCCCTGCAATACCAGAGCAGGTGTTGGGACAGGAATTAAAATCCATTATCTGTTTATATTGTCTGCTACTATTTCCCAAATATGTTTGTGTTTGATATGATAATTTCCGCCTAATGTTGTGAACTCTGGATACAGCCATGTGACAACTCCGTATATGTATACAATGGCAGGTTGCTCGGTAGACCCATCAAGCCTTACACTTGCTTGTTACAAGATAGTGTGCTGCAAATTAGGAAACTACTTAAAGAATTTGGCACACATGCTGTAATTAAACAGGTATATTTAGCAAGACACAGTACACGAAGGGTTAAGTTGGCCATAACAAAAACTGTGAAGGAGCCCGACTGTTTATGGCTCCTGGGTCACATTACTTCTGGAACCTCAAATCTCATTATTCTTTAGTGACACTCTGTGTATCAGTTCAGATCCACCTCATAAGCGTTTCTCAACTTATCCAGTGGGCCTCTGTAAACAACAATTATGTCATTATGAAACGAATGGATCAAAAATGTGGTGTTCAAAAAGGAACTGGACAATTTTGTTCATGGTTATTCTCTACCTTGGACCCGTAGCTTCCAGGACAGACTTTGGGCCCCCATGGGGCAGCGTGTGGCTCAGTGGACTAAGCCTGTGTACTTGTAGTCACAAGGTCGCCGGTTCAAACCCAGCCTCAGCACGTCTGTGGGTCCTTGAGCAAGACCCTTAACCCCCAGCTCCCTGGGCGCACCAACAGGTGGCTGCCCTTCGTGGACAACTTACTCTGCAAAAAGCAAGTTGAGTGAGGCGTAAAAACAATTTCCCCATGGGGATCAATAAAGTATCTATTAATTAATCCATTTAATTAATAACCCTCCATAAGACAAGTGTGAAAATTGATGGATGGATAAAAAGATTTGTGAAACACTGAGTGAATTTTCTAAAAAATAAGCTATCTACCAGATGTACATTAGAATGAGGTGGAAGATGAGGTTTTACAGGACATTGTTAGTAACTCATCACAAAAATGTTTCCATTCTATTAAGGATAATCGAAACAAAAGAAGATTCTATATACAGGTAACACTCATATTTATAACAAAGTTATGGCTGCTGAGGAGAGAGTAGATGTAATTTCTCAGATCTCTCTACCTGTAATTCACAGTTTACACCAAAGAGTCATTGCATGCATGCTACAGGATAAGACACTCAGTCTTTGTTAATCTGACACTGCTGAACTACTACAAGTTCACAAACAATTCTTTCCTCTGTGCTCATAAAACAAACATTGTGCTGGACAGCATGTGACACTGCAGATATTAGAACTACTCTGTCAGATCCGCCCACTTTTTCAGTTCCTTTCTGAAATAGTCACTTAGGAAGAAGACCACACAGGTTTCTATAGTGAATCCCTAAGCGTAATGAGTATTAACATAGCAAGACACTACAAGTTATATGTGGAATTCAAGTTATTTGTCATTTTCAAATTCAGAAGTACTGTGGATGCAGATCAAGCCTTCAAGTGCTTCCTGGAGCTGTTCCTTCCACCCTTATTACTCTGTATTAGTATTTATCAAACAGCATACTTCTGCATACCTCAGCAGATACAATAAAATTCAGCACTGTTTTTCTCTCCATTTAATTTAAAATATCCCGGAAGGAAGCGGGGAAGAAAAGGAAAAAAAGTTAGAACTCTGGATTTCCATTCCTCCCTTAGCTGTGCTTGTGTTTGTGAACTGCTGTCTGAAGCCTCATCCTGAGTATACCAGCCATTCTGCTGGGAGGCGGAGTATCTACACTCACTGAGGGAGGTGACCATAGTCAGACCCTTTTATTCCATTGGATGGTATGGAGTAAAATGGGCAGGGAAATGGGAGGAGAGGAACAGGGGAGGAGGACGGGAGGGGCGTAGGGGAAAACCTGCAGACTAATTTGACTGGATGGTTTAGATGGGAGCTCTGGCATTTGAGTACAGGCACGCATGCAGCAGTATTCGAGAGTGGTCTTCTCTTGTTCTCTGGTCAGCATCCCAGGGCAGTGGAAGACATAGAAAGGAAGAACAAAACAGGCAATAAAGTGGGGAAAATAGAGCAAGGGATTTAGTTTAGCCTACAGAGAGTTTGAAAAACTGCCTTCGTTTTTTTGTACTTTTGTGAGATTATTACTATCCGTTAACAGCTATGGCAGATTCCACCTTGCAGCTGGAGGAGGCAGCGATGAAGGAGCTGTCAGATGATGAAGAAGTGGTTATTCCTCCCTCCGACGATGAGGACGAGGTCGCTGAAGCAGCCAAGGAGCTGGAGAAGGATGACTCGCAGATGAATGGGATGATGGTGCTGGCACTGCTTGACAAGATTATCGGGGCGGTGGACAAGATCCAGCAGACCCAAACAGGGCTGGAAACCCGGCAGCGAGAGATGGATCAGTCGGTGACGGGCATCCAGAGTGAGCTAGCCAAGCTCTCCAAGAGCCACACCACCACCGCCAACACTGTCAACAAGATGCTGGAAAAGGTGCGCAAGGTCAGCGTCAACGTCAAGTCGGTGCGGACCAACCTGGAGAAGCAGGCTGGCCAGATCAAGCGTCTGGAGAGCAATGAGAACGAACTCCTCAAGAGGCGCAACTTCAAAGTCATGATCTACCAGGTAAGAGTGGGGGGAAGATTCAGGAGGAGTCCACAGAGGGCAGCAGCTACTGGGGGGTCTGTGGTGGTCAATGCCGAATGTCAAGATGTCGCGGCAGGCGAGTCCTGGTGCTGTACACCAGGATTATTCCCATATTCATGTAGTGAACAAATACTGTGCCGCAGCGGGACTGGAGAGGAGAATCCCTCTTTTGAAAAAAGGGATTATGTCATACCTACAGAATAGACGGTGTTCCCCACTCACTGAATGATTACATAATGTACAACATTTCTCCCTGAATTCATTTCAGAAGGCTGTTACCTGAGAATTCAAACATCTACATGGTTTAATTAGAGATAAAGGAGATAAAAATGATCCATCTTTCAATCTGCTCATATTTTAAATTGTTATTTAATGGGACATAAATGTATTATGATGCATAAAAATTTAAGTGTCCTTACATTTTGTGGTGTGTGGCCAAGGGACAGGATATATTAACGACAAATTGGCTAATTAAATAAATTGTGCAGAAATTTATATCTTCAAGCAACCAGAATTCCTCAGTTATAAAATGAGAGCTGATGCTTGACATTTGGCTAAACCCCTGGCTTTGCTCATTACTGTTGCATTTTGAAATGATTAGGCTGTGTCAAAACTGAGTGCCATCATACAGATGTCACAACTTTTCTCCCAGATATGCAACTTCACCCTTAGTCGAGTCTTATTGTGCAAATGGTTGCTTAATTTATCAATTGAGTATTTATTTAATCTGTTGTAATATGGGACCAGACCGTTTATTATGTTGTAAATGATTCACATGTGCATCTTATCTGAGTCACATATGCGGAGTCCGAGGCATGCCGATGGTTGATCTTTTGGCTTTTGAGCAGGAGGGTCTCGCCTAACAGAGATTTCACACATGCATGCAAGGCTACCTGTTGCTCTTAGTCTTGCAGCAGTCTCCTGGTGAGAGAGACAATATGCATTTGTGTACGCAGCTTAATTTGAGGCATAAGGAACTCTTTTTTGACTAAGCTTTCACAAATATGGAAAATACCATGAGCTCTGTAGATCCCTCCTAGAGCAGCGATGGGTAGTGTGAGAGGGGAAAGAGAGTCTGAACGGTAGGCACTTAGTTTGAAAAGGCACTCTGTAGTTTTGGCTTCAGAGCTCGGTCTTTTTTTAGCCTCGTGTGCTGTAATGTCTAATAGCTTGCAGCTTGCATGGAGGCGTGAGACATTCAGAGTTTCCACCCTGGCTCAGAGGAGTTTTCCCTGCCCCTCGTTCCCCAGTAATTCCCAGTGGATACGGTGGGCTGCCCAGGAACTGCGTGTGGCACTAAACTGGCCCTTCAATCCCTCCTATACAGGCAGCATAGAGATAAATTAATAGCTACATAATTTTAAGTTCATAGCATCCCTGTGACATTTAGCTTTGCTCTTCCTATGTTTTCTACTAGCATTTACTATCATTCTGTGTGCTGGCTTGGAAACAGAGCCTGGAGTTTCTCCGTTTCTATGTGATGAGGTGTGTCAGTTTGGCTTCTGGAATGTCCACCCTTAGGCTGCTGCCGTTCGCCACAGATGACCTCAGTCCGCATAATGGGAATATAGAAAGCAATGTAGTATTAAGGTATGGCTGCTGATGTAAAAATAAACAAACACTAGGTTGTTAGAATGTAGTCAGGTTCAGGCTGTAATGCTTTTTTGGAATCATTTTTTTTCCTGGAATCCAAGGTCAAGTTCTGACAAAACCACTGTCAGTTGGGAATGAATTCCCCTCGCATTGCAAGATATGTGTCTCTGTTTTCCATCTGCCTGCTACTACTACTGTCCTATTAAATGTGTTATTTTGGAACTGAGTATTTTCTAAGCTTTCCCAGGGGTCTTGAGGCGTCAGACTCTCTCGCGGTGTCTCCTTAAATTTAATCAAATGACTGAGTGAAAAGCAACCCAGATTTTCAACAGACATCCAACACACCTGTTTCTCTCAGCAAGTTCCATCGTGATTCAGAACGCAGATTTCGAACCCGTGAGTTCATGTCCCTGGAAGGCAGAAGGCCTACTTTTATTAATCCTCGGTCGACATTTAATTGTAATAACATGTATAGCCATTTTCATTGACAACATCTGCTAGGGTGAAACTCCAAAGAGAATACAAAAAGTAACCAAAAGTCACGGTAAGAAAGGATGACATTTGCAGTGGGGCAGATCACAGCCATGCTTTTGGCCTGGGGATCCGGCCTATTTTTGGCTGAAGCCTCTGTGGTGTTATGCTATTTGAAAGCAGAGCTAGTAGAGAGATTGTGCACTGGCATGGCTGATTATCATTGAGATGGGCGGGGTTTGTTACCCTGGCATGTCTAGTACAGAGACATGCAGGACAATCCTTGTCTGTGGAAGTGGGTGGCGGTGCGTGCTTTATGCCACGCGTAATGAAGTGCCTCTAGAACACAGAACACGTGGAGGCAGAGAGCAATCGTTTGGATAATTAATGCCAGACGCTGCTTCTGTATGATCCCTAACTCCGAAGCTCAAGCACCCAACAAAGAAAAGCCTCATTTCTAGTGGAAGTAAAAGTATAAGAGAAGTTGTGTTCACTTAAAAATCTCTTCTCATGCTCTCCAGACCAACCCAGTAGCCATCTAACAGAGGGCTCGTGTCATTGCTGGAGGAGTCTATTTAGAACGGACTGCTGTTTGTCTTTGCTATACAAAAGCATGTTGAGGCAGCTGCTGCAGCCGCCCCCCCCACACTTGACACCCCAGATCTTACTTAGCATGTGGCATCCGGAAGCTTCTTCTTCAGCCGCTGAACCTGACAGTGTCAGTGAGGTTGTCATGCACCTTTGCTGTTCCTTCTAAAACAATGTCTGCAGAGTGCTTCCAGCGCTTGCGATGGTGCCAAGGGGGGGCACCAGCTGCCTTCCCACCCGCCCGACCCATGATGACTCACAGGCTGCTGCAAAGAGCTTTCCTTTTTTTGTGGTGGTAACCATGGTTTTGGATAAACATGCCTGCAGAAATGCCCAGGCTCTGACCAGTTTGCCAGTACCGCCGTATCTGGGTTTCCGCTTAGGATTGATACGTCAACTGGCAGAACCTTAGCTGGAATAGCTTTTATGGTGGGCAAACGCCCAGTGTGGGAGAGCAGGGATTCTCTGCCCGTGAATGTTGATAAACTCCAGTCATGATTCATCTGGCCGGCATTCCCACTCCTTCCACTCAGCCCCCCTGCCTCTGCCTCCCCCTCACACATTGGTACAGTATCTGGCTTGTAGCAGTAGACAGGTTAGACGTTTCAGCACCACAAGCTACCTCATACTACAAGATAGCAGGATCAGAGGAACATAAGACCACATTTCATGCAACATCAGAGCATAACGGCATATCGGTCCTCGGAGGCCTTTCCCGTTTGAAGTCAGACTCCTCTTATTTGAAAGTAGCGAGCAGACCCAAGGTGTCATTAAATAACTTGCCGCAGCCAAAGGACACATTTATAACAATAAGCATAATGTTCCTGAAAAGACTATGGAGATAAGTTGGGGCATCTAAACACTGTTGGTAGATTTCAGTTATCCTGCATTGCATAACTTTTTGACTTCAGGATACTGAGCACTGTTTTGAATAACATTAACGATAAGAAATACACAAAAGTGTGAAAATATATCATTGACATGAACAGGAGATATACTATAAGACACCCCGGCTGCATCAGCTCAGGCAGCCCGATTGTAACACAGAGGTTTGTAGGAAGGGGAATTCTGCTGTGGTATCTGATCCAAAGGTGTTCTGTCTTCTGACACCGCAAGCTGCTTTGGCCGATTCACTGGACACTGGAATTGGCGAGAAACCCAAACTTAAATGAATGAAGGAAAAATGAAGAACGTAATATTATTAAAAAATAAGAGAACCAACCGACACAGCGCCAGTACTGTGTTAGATAAAATGCGCATCAAGAGATCACTGTCCTGTTTTTAATATGCGGGAACTCCAGCAGATTTTCAGAATACAGATTGAGGTCCGCATAACTTTTTTTCTTAGCACTTCAGGATGGTCAACATTCTGTTTGCAAGTTGTATTTAAGTGGTGTGTAGCTTGTTCTTCGACAGACTGGCAGAATAGGGTTGTCAAAAGGCCAAGATGCTGGTAATGCCTAAATAATGTCAGCCACTGGAGTTTAGTTGATTTCTGTACTATGATCAGACATTACTGATTTTTTTGTTTATCGTAAAATAGAGACTGAAGCCAGCTCAGAAAAATGTTAAACATTCCTATCATCAGACTTTACTGAAGAACAAAGTTTCCCAGTCATTAAGTTTAACATGACTTATTTCTCCCTGTTCGGTAATGTTACAGTGTAGCCTTTTATGGGCGATTTTTTCCCCCTCTTTCATTGTGCTTTCCATGACCTTCACTTCGCAAGTTACCTAGTTACTTGTTGTTTAGGGTATTCTCTCTTGGCCTTTGTGTAAAAATCTGCAGGAAGGCGTGGCACTTGTGTATCCAGGAGACGTTATCAGAGGAATTGATTGGAGAGAAAGGGAGAGTTATACTGCTTTGGCTTCTTGGAACTAGGGAGAGCAGAATGGAGGCTGGAGCCTAAAAATAGGAAATCCTGCATTCTTCTTATGTGAGGAAAAAGCTTTGTTTTTATACACTAAGTGGTTCAGTGCATCAGATAAGTCAAAAGCCCATAGCTCTGCTGTATTTGTTGTCATTAGTTAATACAAGGATAATTTCCTGATGCATAGCACCAGTCAAAGGTTTGAGTAAATCTACTAGATACATAAATATCTGTACTTGAAGCTGCATTCACGTGTCTATTAACAGGAGTATAAGATGATGTTATGGACCAACAATGAGTCACAATTTTAAATAATTGTGAGATGCAGAGTGCTGAGTGTATGTGTGCTTCCCCCAGGGAGGCATCTTGGTGAGCAGTTGCTTTGCTGGTGACAGAAATGGTGATCTGCACCAAATCCACCGTGATCTCTGTCAGAAAGGCTTTCACAGTCTACTT